CTAAAGGGAGTATAGTTTCATTTTTTTTCTTTTATTCACCTAATTGTTATTCGAATTAAAAAAAGAAATAAAATCATTACTTGCGTCGGCGAATAGATAAAAAATACATCAGTTGACTAATCGTGAAGAACAAAGTCACTTCTTCGAATCGAGTTAACGCGACATGGTAAATCACGTTTCAACGTTAAGCAACACGTACTTACAGTGAATATCTTTTTTCTTTTTCTTTTTTTCATACCGAATCGTGCGAGAATTCAAAAACAGTCGTCGTGATTAACGAGAAAGTTATGAGATTATCCATAATTTTTTTGTCACCAACATGCTCCAATCCAGATAAATAAAAAATGTTTGGTAGCTGTATATTTAATATCCACGGGCTTGATGCACTTAATGTTTATATGTCGAACTTAATGCCCACAATAACAAGAGCTGAAAAATATTAAAAATTTTCACAATAAAAATTGTCCGCTCGAACCAACATTTTTTTTCTCTCGATCACATATCAAACGAAACAAAAGGAAAAAAAAATCATCGCAAGACACGTGTGCGGGAGTAATAACTAATTTTACCATTGCATAACATTTCACCACGTATGCAAAGACTCAAACGCCAACGAACGCTCATGCACACACGCCCTGCGAACAACATCAAAGCAAAAAATACGCATCGGGTCAGATGGCATGTTATATACATCGGCTAAGGGGGTTCCCTCTGGTATTTCCGGTCTCTTCGTATTTGCTGGTATTTTTGATTCGCCCAGAAGTCTTGATGTTCAACGTCCAATTTAAGTATTACGAACGGGAATTCGCAAAGGCGTTCCTGGAAATATCCTCGTGTGATTCCATCTATGAAAAAAAAATGTTTATTTATTTATTATTATTTTAAATCCTAAAGTAAATAGGCTAGTAAATGTATTAAAATTCAACAACGGTTTACATCGTCAAATATTGAGAGGGATGCCCTCTTTCTGGGTATAATAGTCTACATAATGGGTCTATGTATACTATTCATGAGCCTATTATTGTTACTATTTTTTCCATGTTTCTTTGCGTAAATTTTTCATGCAGTCAAAATTATTTAGTTGTTTGTTCGACGCAATCGATACTTATTTGTTATTCTCAGTGGCAAAAAAGCAACGCGTTGGCAAACGAAAGGAAAAAAATTGCATCGTCTTAGTGCAGCTCACCCAATAAAATCCCAATGTTTGAAAGTAATTCAAACAATAATAAAAAGAGTAAAACTTCGATCCATATTCGAAGCTTTGACCACCGCGAAATCGCGCTATTGTCCAACACTACTATTCATAAAGCCGATACGAGTATAACAACAATGAAATTTTTCAATTCGAGCTTTTTGGCGCGTAAAAAATCGAGGAGGCCATCATCGCTCATCAATTTCCGGTAATGGTGTCCCACATCCATCAACTATAAATACGACGATTTCTCGCGTACTCTCGTAAAAGTTGGCACACGTTTATGTGCCCGTGCCATGTATCCGTTACGTATAATATACCATACAGATTTTATACGATCGCATATAATTCATGCGTTTATATATATTTATTATCTAAACGTTGGTGCGAGTGCTGGTATGCGTTTGAAATATGACGAGTCGTTACTCATCGAATTTTCCCGAGCGAGGCATGATAATCGTATCGGGGGTGGAGAAAAAAAAAAAAAAAAAAAAAAAACATCACCGACTCGACGGTGTTTCGTTTTTCCACGCGGTCTCACGGAAATTGTATTTTCACATTTTATGCTACAGCATAGTTACGAAGAAACGTAAAAGGGCATATAAGAGATGTAAGTAGGTACAGGTGAGACAGACGTAAGTAGGAGGGAAGAATCCGCGCTTTTCCGCGTAAAATCGATCGCGCACGAGGAGAGGTCCGGGAAAACGCGTCCATACATATATATATATATATACGACACTCCAAGGTCCATGCAACACCCCAGGGAAAATCGAGCCCTTCGCCGGCTCCTCTGGCTACGCGCGCCTTCCCCTCCCTCTTTCGCGTGCTTAGGTACTTTGCTGGCCTTATCTGCGCTGCAACGCGGCCCGGACGCGCGAGGAGAGGTGTACGGGTGTATACATATAGGTCTACGTACCTTTACCTACAGACGCGCCCGGGCTGCTGCGTCGTAACGATCTTGCCCTTTTCCTCTTTCCCAGGCCAACGTCTCTCTGTGTACCTATACTATATGTATGTATGGTCTAATGGCTGCGTTAGGCTTTTTCCTTCCTCTTGAGTGCCGGAACTAAAAATCGTATCGAGATCGGTATAAATCGGTATGGGATTTTTTTTTTTTTTTTTTTTTTTCAGCATTTCTCGCTGTTGTATTTTCTTTTGATCCCATCTGTTTTTTTTTTTTTTTTTTTTATCTCTCAATGTCCCAATTAACGATTGATTACGTGATATCACTCTTGTATAGAAGATGAAGGGAAAAAAGACATACGGTGCCCGCCTGGGTAATTTATATAAAAGAAGAACAATGCGGTTCGACGAAGAACAAAAGCTATATGTTGTGTGTGAACGAGCGAGCGTGATGTGGAGGAAAGGAAAAAAAAAAAATTATTTATGACACTTTACGACTGCGAAACAAAGCTCGGTGGGGAAAAAAAAAATAATAATAATGGCCACCGGGTGTTGGTACATACAAATATATAATAAATAATTCGCGCACCCGTTTCTCGGCAATCGAAACTCGCTGGGCGTATATTATACGATATGATTGTACACATCGAGCGATAAGTTTTTAAAATTCTCACGAAACCATTGTACGGCCGCACACTTGCGGAAACAAAACGAGTCAATTGTACGCCCATAGGAAATGTACCAATTACGAATTCTCGAACGATCGAATGAATCGGAGAAGAAGAAAAAAAGTGGCTAATATACCCTCTCACCGAATGGAAAAAAAAAAAAATGGTTCCCAGGGCCGGGGTGGTTTGAATTTTTAATGAAAACTCCAACGAAAACTCCGCGAGGAAAAGAAAAAGCATATGCCCCCTCGCACGAAAGGAAAAAAAAAAAATTAAAAAACGACGGCTCGTGCCCTCCCCCCTTTCCTTTGGATTGTCCAAAGAAATGTAAAAAAAAAAAGTACCCAAGGAGTCTCGGTCGTCTTGTGCACATCCATATATATATGTATGTATTACCAGCTCGGCTCCTCGTCCAGGGCGCGCAGGGCGTTACACGTCGATATAGCGAGCCTACACGTACATCTATATACACAGAGCCGGTGTTGCCGCCACCACCCCACGCTGAAACCCCCAACGCGCTCGCACACCCTCAGACACTGTATAGAAAGAGGGTATGTATTATATATACATATAGGTGAAGCAGCAAAGGGGCTATCGTTGTAACAACTCGCTGCACTTTCCCTCCCTCTCTATTCCTGGGATGTAAGTACATATATGGGGCGATCGGAGGGAGAGAATCGCGCGAGCGCGCGCATCCCTTCGCCCTATCTCCCTGTACCTATACCAACTATACCCTGTACGTGTACGTACCCTTGGTGAGCTGGTGTTGCGGGTTCAACCCTCTTCCAGGGGTGGCTGGGTACACGGGGGAGAAAGAAGGGGCGAAAAGTATATATGCCCTTCGAGGGACGCTCAGACTCAGCTGCGCGTGTGTATACACACACATGTATACTTATGCTGTACGATGCGTTGTTGTGTGTCCTTCTCTTATATTTTACGTGTATATAATTATATATACCGCCTCGCCCTTTACGAGGAGTCGATAGCTTTTTTGCACAAGAAACGCACCGGCTCGAGAGTACCATGTAAGCATCGCTACCGATCGTTCACGCGCGTTTATTTATATGCTTCCTCGTGTTTGTTCATACTCGTATTGTTTTTTTTTTTTTTTTTTTTTTTTTTTTTACGAGAAAAAACATTTACTCGATGGGGGAANTCGGCTTTGTTTTTGATTGGATCAGGAAATTGAGTTTTTTTTTTTTTTCACCGAGTCATCGTCAATTTGAATGTACGGCTTTTCTGCGTAATCGATTCATTTTGCACTAGTGGTGCCATCTATCCGGGAAAAATAGGTACGTTGACGGTTGCTCGAGAGGAATGGGCGGTCGCATGATATCGATAATAATTTTTACTATCCAGGACATCACTATGTTTAAATGAGAAATGGTGATTTGGTATTATTATTACATTTCGATAGGATTCAATTTCAACCAAGGTTTATTAAGCGAAATGTAGTCAAAAATATGTTGAATTTTCTTTCTTTTTTTTAATCAATCACGATACCTTCAAAAGAACATTGTGTTTTTGGATGAATCAATGCTAGAAAATTCAGTATTAATTTTTTTGCAAATTATTAGTAATAACAATTTAATGTTGTTTTTCTTACTTTGTACGAAAAACCCCGGAAAACATTTTGTAACGGCAATTTAAGCTCAAACCATGGTGGTATGAATCAATTGACGAAAAAAAAGATTAAAATACACTATACAAAACATACTCAAAACAGTGAAGGTCACTATCACTGTTTAAGCATTAAAATTTACTGGAATTCTGTCATTGTACAGTTCCCACACTGGTTTTGACAATTATCTTCACATTTTCCTTAGTGCAACAATGAAAGATCATGACAAGCATACCGCATGATGTTACGCTGATTTTCCTCAGCCACGTAATGTTCATCGGTGCACCCACAGGGTCAGATGTTACATCAGCAGCGAGCAGGGGACAACGAAAGATAAGAAAAGGGGGCCAAGTGCCAAAACGAGATCCTAATGTACACTTTACGTCTCTCTTGCTCACGACTCACTAGCCCGGGAGCGCAATGGGGCAAACGAGCACGCGCCACGGTCCGACAAGCCCAATCAATCATCATTTTAATACGCTACTTTGAGTAGGAATTCAACAATGAGAAAATTCCCTGAGAGCGAATTTACTGCTTGGCAGCGGCTATCATTGCACAACGGATTCCTCGATCGTTGTGAATATTATTGGAACTTGCTACTTTACGTACTGCCCCACTCCAGAATCAAAGTTGTTGTTCCCAATGTCTAATCATATTGTGCATGATCTTTTTTTTTTTTTTTTTCTTTCTTTTTTTTCAAATCCGTACGGGTGCGTGTTTCACAGGTAAGTAACAACGGAAGAAAGAGAGTCGCTCTACCGTACGGGTTTTTAAATCGAGTCGTGTTTTATGGGTCAAAAAACGGCCCTTTCGTGCACGCGTAGTATACTTATACATAAAACTTGTAACATTTAATTGATGCGGCGCACGTGTATACACGGATTTTCACTTACGAGTCCCCGTACATACAATATACGATAGATTGTTGTGAAAAGCTTTATCTCGTTCGGGCGCACGTGTCATTTTGTTAGCTTCTCTCTTGACTCGATGATACGTACATGGTATAATAAATATACGCGTCGCAAAGGTATGTTCTTACGGCTCGTTTTGCCGTAGACGAAACGCTTCTTCTGCCCTCTCGTTTTTTGGCTTTTGTCCTGCTCTCGCGAGGCGTAAGGACTGTTTTTTTTTTTTTTTTTCTGTCTGCGACACTAAAAGCACACACGCGTGTACGAGTGCGTTTGAACTGCGTTTCGAGCACATAAGCGTGTGTGCGAGCTTTTGCGCAGAGAGTCGTCGGCGAGCGAGTACTTACTGCCACGGTACCCATTGGTTTTGTTTTACGGTTTTTTTTTCTTTTTTACCGTTCTCCCATCGCAAGCAAGTAAAATCAGCGGGCCAATTATAAATCCTTTCTCTTGTACATCCGTCGCGGGGAGCTTTCGCAGCCCCACATATTTTTTTTTTTTTTTTTTTTAATTTTCTGTTGAAAGTGCACGTGTGGCTATGTGTTGCAGCTGAGAGAGATAATACATGCACACACATACGTGCGGCGCGCTAAATTTGAGGTTAACGCCGCCGCCTTCCGAGACGGTGATTCTCCAGACGGGAAACTTGGAAGTTCTATTTTCAACTCGAGGAGGAGGAGTAAAAGCGTACACAAGTATATATATATATGTGATCCGAGGAAAATCGACGAGTGCGGATAGACATACTTCAAGTCCTCGTCGTTTTGTCGGACAGCTGCGCCTCTTCTTCGCAAGAGAAGATCCACAGAAGCGCTCCTGAATTAATGCACCATTGTCATCATCATACCACACGTGTGTGCGTGCGTTGGTTGAATAATTATGCAAATGTGCCAACGCCACGAGGTTTTCAGCTCACGCGGTATAAACAAGTCGGGGATTATTGATCAACGCACGACGACTGCTGCCACTGCACGCCGGGATTTGTAAGGTGAGTTTGGAATTTTTTTCCTCTTTTTTTTTTTTTTTTTTTTCTTTTTTTTCGAATCGGATCAAGTATGGCCATTATCGTTGATTGGCTGGTGTCTTGGTTGACCATAATATAACTATAGTGATGAGTGTCAAGTGGAGGGTAAAGAGCTCGTGGTTCGTGTCAATCATCGTGGACGATACGGTGGTATGAAAATGTCGAGAAAACGGTCCTTCGTTGTTAAATAGCTGAGCCAAGTGGGTGCATGTAATATGGAGTGCACGGGCCAACCGATGGCTTCTTTTTGCTAATAAGTATCCTTGTTTGGGTTGCATTTCGCTTACGGGGGAAGGGGGGTCGGCCAAATTAAATGATGATAGGGAGCTTGCGTCAGTCGTCGCGTGTGAGCGGACTTGAGCCTTGTTTTTTCGGAAAACATAAGTAATTTGACGAAAAGTGGACGAGAGAAGGAAGGACATACGGCAGAGAGGTACAGGTAGGTAACAAGCCGGCTGGCGAGTGTACAAAACAATAACATCATTGGATTGTACACGTATTCAATGTACACGTATTCATTGTACACGTATATATANTTTTTTTTTTTTTTTTTTTTTTTTTTTTTTTTTTTTTTTTTTTTTTTTTTTGTTGAAATGGTAAAAACAAGGGGATAAACTTAGCGATCTTATCCATCACCGTTTAGTAATCATATACGTATACGAATTATTTAAAATGAAACAATATATATTAGCTCATAAGTTTTACTTATCTATTTTAAATTTGGTTAATTGAGTTATCATCGATGATTAAAATTAAATTAGGAAAATCGTGATAATCATAATCGTTACCTTAGGCGCAAAACATAAAATTAAATATAAATATACATCGCCACTCGTTTAGATTAAACGAAGAAGAAGAAAAAAAATCACACAGTCTATAGATCTGATAAACAATTTAATGCAGTTGACGTGTACCTCTCGTGCGGTGAAAATCAATTCTCAG